CATGAGATTTCTGCTTGTTTATTTCATTATCAGCAGTGTACGAAGTTTTGGAACGAGATTTTGTTTGTTATGGGGTTTTATACTAGTACTTGGTTGGTTTTTGAGTAGTTACTGTGACCGGGAATAGTGCTGCGAGTATGCGAGTCATGTGGTATGTTATGTGATTATATCTGGGATTATGGTTATGGCTTGATATAGCTTGTTCAGACTTATACAGTGTGTTACTGTGAGATTCGGGTTTTGTAAGAAAATTCTGAATGTTGGGAATTGAATTCCAAGGTTTTTGGACCAAGATTAAATTAATGATTTTTGTTGTGTTGTGTTGTCGGGCCTATATGGGATGGGGTGACATGGGATCACTCCCGGGTACGTGCGTGGTAAGATGGAATAGTGATTTGATGGCTTGAAAACAACTCTTGGCACGTTCGAGGACGAACGTATATTTAAGTGGGGGAGAATGTAACGACCCGGCCAGTCATTTCGAGTATTACAGCCCTGTTCCCCCATTTACTGCTCTATTTGTGCTTTATAGCTGTATTATGACCTATCGGATTAGTTAGTTCGGTCCGGGGAGATTTCAGAATGAATTGAGACACTTAGTCTCATAATGGAAAGCTTAAGTTGGAAAAGTTGATCAGATGTTGATTTATGTATAAACGACCCCGAATTTGAATTTCGATGTTTCCGGTAGCTCCGTATGGTGATTTTGGACTTAAAAGCGTATCCGAAAAATTATTTGGAGGTTCGCAGTGGAATTTGGCTTGAAATGGCTAAAGTTGAATTTTTGGGAAGTTTGACCGGGGGTTGACTTTTTGATATCGGAGTCGAAATCCAATTCTGGAAATTGGAATAGCTTCGTTGTGACATTTATGGCTTGTGTGCAAAAGTTAAAGTCATTCCGGATTGATTTGATGTGTTTCGGTAAACGATATCGAATTTGAAAGTTCAAAGTTCATAGATCTTGAATTGGGGTGCAATTCATGTTTTAGTGTTGTTCAATATAATTTGAGGCATCGACTAAGTTTGTGTCATATTATGGGACTTTTTGGTATATTTGAACGGGATCCCGAGTGGCTCGGTGAGTTTCGGGGTGAATTTTGAGCGAGTCCGGGTATTTCGGCACTCTGATGTTGTTCTGGAGCATTGAAAGTGCAGACCACACAATTTCATGTGCTGAGGCACATTTTTGAGTGCTGTAGCAGATGAAAAAGTGCTGCAGCAGATGAAAATGTGTGGACCACAGAGGAAAAATGCGGACCACACAATTTTGTTTGCGGCCGTACTTCAGGGGTTCTGCAGGTTCGATGGTCTGACTTCGAAGGCTTGTATCTTTTAATTTACAATGAATTTGGAGATGATTCAAAATCGAAAGTTGTAGTCCTTTGAATCTAGTTTCTATAAAGGTATAGAATTAATCATTGAGATATTTGTACAGAAAGTTATAGGGATTTTACTGAAGCCTGGTAAGCTGTCACAGTGAAGTGCGGTGACACTCAAAATTGTGCGGCCGCAGAACTTGGAAATGTGCGACAACACTTGAAAATGTGCGGACCGCACATTGGGAGAACAGACTTGGTACTATATAGCCGAGGGTTAGGTTATTATTTTATTTTTGGACTTTGGGAGCTCGGTTTGTGGCGATTTTTCGTGGGATTTTCAAGAAATTTATCGGGGTAAGTGATTCTAAATCGATTTTGGTTAACATACATGAATATATCGTTGTTTTCATCATTCAATTAGTAATTTGAGATGGAAATTTGGGGAAAATTGTAGAAATTTCAGAAGAATGAATTTTTGGGATTTGAATGTCGATTCGAAGTCAGATTTGAGTGAAATTAGTATGATTGAACTCGTAATTGAATGAGTTATCAGATTTTGTAAGTCTCGGCGGGTTCCGAGACGTGGGCCCCGCGGGCAATTTTTGGAGTGTAATTTCGAATTTTGTGGGAAAATATTAGTATTTCGATATGGAATTAATTCTTATATTTGTGTGGACCGAATCAAATTAATTGTGGCTAGATTCGAGCCGTTCAAAAGATGATATGCGCAGAATGGAATTTGTGGAGCATTGTTTAGCTTGCTCGACATTGGTGTTGGCTTGTTCGAGGTAAGTAACTCTTCTAATCTTGGAGCTGAGGATATGAACCCTGAATATACGTGTTCTGATTTTGGTCTTGAGGTGACACACATGCTAGGTGATGGGCGTATGGGCGCACCGTGTGAACTGTGATTTCTGTTATTTATGTGGTACTGTGTAATTACCAGAACTTATCTGTAATCATGAAATCTCTACGTACTAGAGTTATCGAGTTGTGACTCATGTTAGAAGCCATGTCTAGGTTACATGCTTATTCCGTTGGGACCCATTGAGGTCATTTCTACTGTTGAGTTATCTGCTTTCATTGCATTACATACTCAGTCATACGCATTCATATACATATCATATCTCAGTCTCTGTTGTTATTTATTGATGCATCATATCATTGTTTCCGGGCTAGTATAATGACATTGTGAGCCCGTAGGAGAGAGACTAGGGTGCTCTGAGTTGCCTCCCACAATCCTAACCCGAGTTTTAGCTCCATTATACATGTCCTTAATCGCACTAATGTAGGCAACCAACACACCTTTTGCCTCCAAGCATCTTCAAAGAACCTCCCTAGGGACCTTGTCATACGCTTTCTCCAGGTTAATAAACACCATGTGCAGGCTGATGAAGCTATACCTACTGAACATGTTCCTTTGGGTCACTCCTTGGGTGAACCATCTCTAGGAATACAGATTAGGCCGTGGAGACATCAAAGTTCACATCCTCTAAAGAACATCATCTCTAATCCTAATATAGGAGTGCAAACTAGGTCATCTTTGAGAAATTTATGTGCACTAATAGCATTCCTCTCACATGTTGAACCTAAGAATATAAAGGAAGCTCTAAAGGATCTAGATTGGATTATAGCCATACAAGAGGAGCTAAATCAGTTTGAAAGAAGCAAGGTCTGGCACTTGGTACAAAGACCCAAGAACAAAACTATCATATGTACCAGATGGGTGTTCAAAAACAAGCTGGATGAACAAGGAAATATCACAAGGAACAAGGCCAGACAAGTGGTTCAAGGATACAATCAAGAAGAAGGCACTGACTATGATGAGACATTTGCACCTGTAGCTAGAATGAAAGCTATAAGAATGCTAATAGCTTTTGCTGCACACATGGAGTTCACCTTGTATCAGATGGATGTAAAGAGTGCATTCTTGAACGGTTATCTGAAGGAGGAAGTGTTTGTTAAACAATCTCCTGGGTTTGAAAGTGAAGAATTTCCTAACTATGTGTTCAAGTTAGACAAAGCCTTGTGTGGATTGAAACAGGCTCCAAGAGCTTGGTATGAAAGACTCTCAAAATTCCTCTTAACCAACAACTTTGTAAGAGGAAAGGTGGACAACACACTGTTTCTGAGGAGCAAAGGCAAGAATGTTGTGATTTTACATGTATATGCGGATAACATTATCTTTGGAGCTACTAATGAAGCAATGTGTAAGGAATTTGATGAGATGATGGGAAATGAGTTTGAAATGAGCATGATGGGTGAATTTAACTTCTTTCTGGGGCTGCAAATCAAGCAAACACCTACTGAAACCATGATACATCAACAAAAATACATCAAGGAACTATTGAAGAAATTCAACATGGACTCCTCTAAGTCCATAGACACTCCCATGGACATTGCAACAAAATTGGACCTTGATGAAGAAGGAAAAAATATTGAACAAAAGCTATATAGAGGAATGATTGGGTCGCTGTTATATCTCATAGCAAGCAGTCATGATATTGTATTCAGTGAGGGACTGTGTGCAAGATTTCAGGCAAATCCAAAAGAGTCTTATCTGAAGGTTGTCAAGAGGATACTCAAATATCTTAAAGGGACTTTTGATATGTGCCTATGGTATCCTAGAGGGTATAGCTTTGATTTAGTTGGTTATGCTGATGTTACTATGCAGGTTTTCATATTAACAGGAAAATCACTTCAAGAACAATACATTTTCTAGGTTCTTGTCTGGTGTCTTGGGGAACAAAAAAGCAGAACTAAGTGGATTTATCCACAACTGAGGCTGAATATGTGGCAACAGCATCTTGCTGTGCTCAGTTTCTGTGGATAAGACAACAACTAAGGGACTATGGTATTTTTGTTGATTGTGTTCCTATCTTCTGTGACAACACTAGTGCCATAAATATTGCTTAAAGTCTCTATCATAAGAGAACCAAGCACATTGACATTAGACACCACTTTCTCATAGACAATATTGAAAAAGGGAATATCTCAATTAACTTCTGTAAAACTGAAGACCAAATTGCAGATATTTTTACGAAAACTCTGAGTAGGGATCACTTTGAAAGGAATAGACTGAAACTAGGTCTAATCAATATTTCCAACTAGGTTGAACCCCAATGATTGGCTAAAAAAAGTATAATTAGATGTTGATAGTCAAGTACAATGTGTTTGATTCAATATCTTGCTTGTATTAAGCACAAACACTTGCCTAGAAAAATCTACTTGATAACTATGTTGTATGATAATAACTTGTAGTGTTGAAGCTTTATTGCAGAAATGAGTAAGGAGTTACTAAGGAGTTGGTTCTTGACTCAGGTACGTGCTATCTTGTCTTAATTCACTAGGAATTAATATTCAAAATTACTGTTATGCTCAGAATTTCTAATCCTGTTAGTATCACTTCTTGTTGTCATCTAGTCAAAGAGTAAGGGGGAATTCTAGAGCAATTAGAGTTTAATTACTCCTGAAATCCAAACAGTCAAAGTAACCATTATTAGAGTCCCGTTAGAACTCAAATTTGGTCTCTCTCTCTCTCTCTCTCTCTCAAATCAGGAGTAATGTCTTTAAAAGCCCTTTATGATCAGTTTCTCAGACCTTACTGTTTCTCTCAAACCCTAAGCAAGAATAAAGAAATAATTCTCCATTTCCCTTCATCGATTTTCTTCTCTTATCACTATGCCTAAATCCAGCCAAACCTCCTTTAAAGCAAAATCATCATCCAATACTGAAGCCAAATCCAAGAATGTGAAGCACAAATCAAAGAAAAGTGTCAAACCATCAAGTGAACCTGCACCCTCACCTGCTCCTTCTCCATCGATATCCTCCACTGTACCTACACCACCATCCTCTATTCCTGCTGCTCTCACCATCCCCACCTTTACTAGTCCTTCACTTCCAAAACTAACCACCCATGCATCTGTGCCTACTTCGAAAAACATCTCTAAGTCAACCAAGGTCAAGGATACTCCAAGAAAATCTGTCAAGAGTGACAATATGGTGCTTGATGATACTGCTAAAGTAGACACAATGGTTTAGGAAGCTGTGGTTCAGGGAGAATCAATGTCAATTACTACAAGTCAGGTAAAACTCCCTCTATCAAAGTTAGATGTTCTAGTATCTGCTATAAATGTTGCACCCTTAGATACTGGCCCACCCACAAGTGATAAATCGCAAGTGGAGGAACCTACTATAGAAACGAATATAGCAACTCTGGAGAAAGGAGTAGATGCCACTGATGTCATGCATATGATTGGGGAGGAAGGTAGTAAAGAACCAGTACAAAAGGAGGTATCTGATTGTCTTTCTTCAGCTAGACTGAAGATGAGGGTGAAAAAGAAGAAGGAGTAGTGGTGAGTCATGAGGAACATCAGACTCAGGATATGGCTAATGAAGAGAAAAAGAGTGAGAATGAGGGAGATTCTGGTGAAAAGAAGGAGAGTGAGACAGAAGATAGGATAGATGAACAAGTGGATGATTCTGCGGAGGAAGAAAATAGTAGTGAAGAAGAAGGTAATTCTGAGAGTGAAGGTGAGGATCAAGAAAAAGTAAGTGAGAGTGAAGGAGAGGAGGAAGAAAGTGAGGAAGAGAATAAGAATACAAGTAGGTAATCTGAAGGCTCTATGACTATTGAGAACACTGTCCTAGCCCATTCAGAAGAAGCAAGTGGAGAGAAAAGGACTGACGAAACTGGGCCCTTATTAACTCCTTTCACTGGAGATGAGGAGGTCAGTAGTGATGAAGATAACTTGCCCTTGTCTGTAGTAGGGAAGAAAACCAGGAAGACTCCTGTGAAAGCAACAAAGTCTGTTGTCCCTGCAAGGAAAGAAGTGGCTCATCCTGTTAGGACTCCTATCACAAGGAGTAAAAGAAAGGCTATTGATGAACAAATCATTAAGGAGTCTAGAGGTGCCAAGAAACCAAGGTAGCAAGTTTCGGTTGTGGAACATGTTGTTGATTTGGATGGAGAAGATGAGTCTGATTCTGCTCTGCCAGAAAAGTCATCAACATAAAAGAGAAAGGTTGTCAAATCTACAAAGACTGATACCCCATCTACAAGGGCCAGTAGAGGAAATAAAAGAAAGAGTGGGCCTGCTGTGGTTGATAAACTCACTGAGTCTAGGAACAGAAAAGCGCTTAATGGGAAGATTCTTGCAAACACTGATGAAAAGGGGATGGCTCAACTAGTTGAAAAACTTGAGCTACAGGTATGGAAACACATGTTTGTCAAGGCTTTCCCTCCTATGTGTGTGCCTGCTGTGGTGGAGTTCTATGCGAACTTCCAGTTTGATGGAAAGGTGGTCAAGAGTAATGTAAGGGGGTTTGGGATGGTGTTTGATGCTGAAGAGCAGGGGATGCTTCTGAATATTCCCTCTTTAGGCTTTGACAATTACTTGAACAAAAAGTATCCAGCCATAGCAATGATGTGGACACAGGAATTGTGGTCACAAGGAATTTCTCTCAAAAGTTTGAACTGGATACTCCCTAGAAGGTGTACAAGACTGATATGACCCCCTTCCACAAGCTGTTGTTTCACTTTGTCAATTCCTGTATTTTGTAGAGGTTTGCGAGAAGGCATGAGGCTACTCTGTTGGATATGGCTGTAATGGAACTGCTTGACATGGGTAGACCTATCAATATCCCTAGCTTGATGATTCAACACATGACAAGAGTTGCAGACACTTCCAAGACCAAGCATGCTATGCCTTATGTCTTTATGTTGACTGAGCTGTTTAACAAGATCAACATTGCCTTACCTGAGCTTAAGTTTGAAAATCACAATGATGTTTTGGATGTTGCTACCCTCAAGCAGTGTGGCTATGAGGAGATCAAGGCTAGAGGACCAACAAGTTCTGCTATTCTACCTGGTAGCAGCAGGGTAGCAGAGCTCACTAAGAGGTTGGAGTTGGCTATTGAGGAGAATGCCAAGCTTCGAGAAGACAATGATGAGTTAAGAAATGAAACCAGGCAGCTTATGGAAGAGCCCAAAAGGGCCAGGGAAGCTCATGCCCAACAAATTGCCACCCTTCTTGTCACGACCCAAAATCTCACCACATGCGTTGTGATGGCACTTAGTCTCTAAGACTAAGTAAGCCGATTATAATTATAATTCAAGCCATTTGTTTTAAAACTAGATAATCGAAACCAACAATGAAAATAATTACAAACAACCTCCCAAGACTGGTAATACTGAGTCACGAACTCTAACTGAATACATGAAATGATCAAGGATCGAATACTCAATACTGTTTGATTAATAATTAACAGTACAATAAAATAGAAAGACTCCAAGGGACTGCGACGACCAAGCAGCTCTACCTTGAATCCTTGCGATCATACTCTAACTCTGTCTGAGTCCGATATCTCCAATACCTGGCTCTGCACAAAAATGTGAAGAAGTGTAGTATGTGTACACCATAGTCGGTACCCAGTAAGTATCAAGACTAACCTCAGTGGAGTAGTGACGAGTTACAGTCAAGACACTCACTAGTCTAATAGCCTGTGCAATATAGTATACGAGAATAATAGGAAACAAATAACAATGATGGCAACAATAATCAACCAGTGATATACACAATAGGGCAACAAGAACACCATAAATATTGCTCAATAAATAATGAATACAAGTACAACCAATTAATCAAGTCTTTCAAATATAAATCTTTCACCTATATGTTTTTCAAATAATAATCTTCAGGATATAATACTTTTCAATAAATATATTTCGAATATACTCCCTTCAATAAATATCTTTCAATATAATTCTTTCAAATAAATCTCTTTCAAATATAATTCCTTCAAATAAATATCTTTACAATATAATTCTTTCAAATAAATCTCTTTCAAATATAATTCTTTCCAATAAATATCTTTCTAATATAATTCTTTCAAATAAATCTCTTTCAAATATAATTTCTTCAAATAAATATCTTTTAAATAAAAGTCACACTGTGGTACTTCATTTCAAAATCATAAAATACGGGTCTCAACCCACTTTCATATTTTCACGGCACTTCGTGCCCATAATTAAATTATCATATTTCCCCGGCACCTCGTGCCCACTTTTCATATCACATCTGCACGGACAGTTCACGTGCCAGTAATAAAATCATCATATTTTCTCCGGCACCTTGTGCCCACATTTCGTATCTGTTGCGGCGTACAACCCGATCCCATATAACATTACCTGCCCCGCAATAGCCACAGGCTCACAATTTCACCATAGATCAGGCTATTATCAATATATAATGAATAACACACGAAAAATCACAACATCACATAAAAATCACCAACATAATAATCCCACATTATCACATATCATCCCTGACACTATCCACCCTTATCTCTCTTATAGCCACCCTTATCACTCCTATAATAGCCTCCCTTATCCCTCCGCCCTGATAATATCAATAGCCACCCTATCGCTCCTATAGCCAACCTTATCGCTCATATAGCCACCCTTATCACTCCGCCCAGACAATATCCCAACACACATAATCACAGTGAAATGCCACTCTTATACCCACATAATATCAACAGTGGAATGCCACACTTATCCGCCGCATAACAGTAACCTAAATCACACAACAATTAACACGGATATTACCACGAAGAAACAAAATCACATTTCATATTATAAATTGCCTATAGGCCACAACCAATTCCAAAAATACAATAAAATCAATTAATTTCACAGCAAATAGCCCAAGGCTCCACACAACGTATATGACACCTCGTAAACAACAACAAGGAAGGAAAATTAACTCAGCATAAAAAAACACCTTCTTTAGTCCAAGATTTTGATAAATATATTAATACCTCAATTTAAACTTATTTAATTAATTATTCGTAGATGAAAAATCTATAATATAATTAATCCCAAGAAATATTAATCAACAAACTCACGACAAATTCACATAAATATTCAAGTAACAATCACATCAAACTGTCATATAAAAACAAATTCAACAAACAAGGTTTAAGGCATGCCAAATAGAGGATTTAATAAATGCCAATAACTATCTAATTTACTGCACAATAATGCCAAGGACTTTAACCCAATAAATTTTGCACATATAAGCCTGAGTATGTACTCGTCACCTTGCGTACACGACTTTTTACATTTCATAAATAGCACATAAGAATCGATGCCTAAGGGGCAATTCCCCCACTCAAGGTTAGGCAAGATACTTACCTTTTTGAAGTTATGCCGATATTCCAAAATCGTCTTCTTGATTGAATTGACCTCTGGAAAGCACAAATCTATCCAAATTAATTATATAACTTCATTAAAATTCATCGGAAATAATTTCGGATAATAAAGCGCCGACTTAAAATTTTATTCTAAAATGTCAACCAAAAGTCAACGTGGGGCCCTACCACGATCCAAAATCCAACTAGTCGTGATAGCACCTAACCCAACCCGCTAGGTAAGCCAGTTATCAACTATCCAATTTCAATAAAATTCAACAAGGCAATTAAGTAAAAGAAATATCTAAATCTTATATATTCCCCAAGAACTGGTAGTACAAATCATGAGCTTCTAAGAATAGAGTTTACAAAGCTGGTATGAAATAAATACATCATCTGTTTGAAAAGTACATAAACAGAGTTTTATGAATCTAAGGCTACCAAGAACAAGAGGCAGCTACAACCGGAACGCAGGTACATAAGATGTTTCTTTTTCTTTTCAAATAGCCAGTGAAAAATGCATCACTGTGTCCATATGCCAATATGTGTGAGAAGTCATGAATGACGTGATACCGTACAACATGAGAAAAATACATCTCTATGCCTGTATGTCATGTGTGCATGTCACTGCAATGTATCTCAGAGATAAACTCATGTACTCACACTCTCAGAGTACTCAATCTCACTTTCTCACACATTCCACTCATCATCCTCAATCACTCGGTATTGTATATGGCCAATCCGGTCTAGGGAAGATCCATCTCGGAATATACACATCAACTGATCATCAGTCACTCAGTATCGAGTAGGGCCAATCCAGCCCGTGGAGAAGATCCATCTCCAAGTATATAATGCTTCGGACAAGATCCATATCCAGGGAAGATCCATCCCTCAATAATATCAACCGCGCTCACTGGGTGTGTGTGCAGACTCCAGAGGGCTCCTTCAGCCCAAGCGCTATCATAAATTAGTATAACCACTGTAGCGTGCAGCCCGATCCCATAAATATCACTCATAATCAGGCACTCGGCCTCACTCAGTTATCAATCTCTCCAGTCTCTCTCTCATGGGCTCAGAATGTCATGATACTAGCCCGAAAATAATGATATGATGCATCAATAAATAACAACAGAGACTTAGATATGATATGCAATGAATGA